TTTTAAAATATTTTATGATAATCAATCTGCATTAAGTATGAGTAAGAATCCTGTATTTCATGAATGAATGAAGCATATTGAGGTTAACGATCATTTTGTCAAACATAAAGTGCTTACAAGAGTTGTGAAGCCTTCTTATATTTTGACAAGCTGTCAATTGGCAAATTTGTTTACAAAAGCTCTACTGCTTAAACAGTTTTCCTTTTTACTGAGCAAGATGTGCATCTTCAACACCCATGCACATCTTGAAGTGATGTTACAGATTAAGGACACGTGTAAAGTCACCTTTATACATGTGATGGAATTAAAGAATAAGTTAATTAGTTAGTTTTGTAGCTAGTAAACCATGCTGTGGTTAATTTTCTGTTAGTATGATTTCTTTCTTGTATATAAACATCTAACCATGTATCATATAATGAGATGCATCACTTTACTGCTCATATTCCTCTCCTAAACTTTCTTCTTCCTTCTATTTCTCTCTGGTTCATCTTTGTTTTTAAACCCAAAAAACTAACAAAATTGAACTTTCTTGTATGTTCATCTTTTTCTTACTTGTTTGTTTTATTTTTTGAGAGGTTGAACAAATTTGATTTATTTAAGCAGTTTGAAGATTTTCTTGTTTTAATTTCATGTTTCTTTCATGTCAAACAAATGGAAAATTTGAAAAAAAATCTATTTACATTGCTAACAGATACTATTGTGGCTTATAAAGCAATCGACCCAAGGGCAGAGCTAGTTAATTTTTCTTAGGGAGCCAAAGATGAAAAAGAATAAGGAGTAAAAAGTTTTAAAACTAATATGTTGATTTATTCAATAAAAAAATTCATAATAAATAATTATTTTATATAAGATATAAATCAAAAGAAACAAGAAAAGAAATATCTACTATAGTCTTTTAGGAAAGTTTGTTAGCTTTAAAATTATTATACTTTTGATTATGACAAAACGATTAAATTTGTTTGAACATTATTTGAGTAATCCTTGACAATTGCTTGAAATGATTTAACTCCCATACATTTGTTCTTACATAGTTATAAGCTTGACTTTTGAAGTTATTGAACTATATTTATAAACTTGTATGACTTAGGTGTGTGAGTGCTTATGATTCCCATTCATTAAAGTTTGATCTAAGGATTAAAGGAAAATTTAGATGCATTCATTAAAGGGGTGTTTTGAATATCAATTTTAATGATAAAAACAAAGAGAAGGAAGACTAAGTTAAATAGAGTTTGATTAGTCTTCATGTTTAATTTTTATGTGTGATGCTTTGCTTTGGTTTTATTGAATATTATGTAAAGAAAACTAGATGCATTGACTAAGGGGGAGCAATTTATTACGCATAAAGATTTGATGCATTCATATTGAACATAGACATTACACTATTAATCTAGGAGTGTTTTGTCATCATAAAAAATAAGAGATAGAGAATGTTGACTCTATATGTTTTTGATGATAGCAAAATATTCCCATTCATTGGTGTCTAATTATATTGTTTATGTGTGTAGGACAAAAATGCATGCCATTAATTAGTTAATCATTCAAAAGACAATATCAAAACTCATGAGAATAAGGAGCTATAAGTGAAAATGAAATGAGAAGCCTCTAAGTTGAATAATCAAAGGAGTTGGTTGGATAAAACTCAAAAGAGAAGCTGATGGGTTCAAAAAAATCGTGAAACAAAGAGCACTTAGTCGACCAAGAGACAGAGTTAGTCGATTAAGAGCATTCTGCCAGAAACAGGGTTCAGAAACAGAAACGACTTAGTCGACCAAATGATATCGATTAGTCGACTAAGTGCATTTTGTCTGGCAGTTTGAACTGACACTAAAAGACAAAATAATAGGCAAAATTGCTCCCAAACTATTTCCAACGGTCAGAATCTGTCCAACTGCCAGCAGAGTTGATTTTTCAAGTATAAAAACACCTCCTAACAATCAAGAATCAGATTTGAAGGCTTCTAAGATCAAAAATAGCTCAGAAATCTCAAGAACACTCTACATATTTTCTGCACTTCACCTCCAATCTTTGTAACAGAGTTAAGAACTTCATCTTGTAGCATCAGATCAGGTTAGTGATCATAGGTACCTCTTTATTTTTTTTCTTCTTGATTGCTTAGAGTGTGTGAGACACTCTAAGGGGATTAATCAAGCTTAGGTTAGCTTGATTAAGTGCAAAGGTTCTCACTAAGCCTGAAAAAGTTAGTTTTTGGGTTTTGGTTGATCCCAAGAAAACTTATTGTTGAAGGTTGTGGCTGAGCTTTTGAAAGCCATTATTGAAGATTGTGGTTGAGCCTTTGTAAAACCATTGTTGAAGGTTGTGGCTGAGCTTGTAAAAAGTCATTGTAAAAGCTTGGTGAAAGCTTGGTAATTTCACCGTTTATAGTTATTTGATTTAGAAAATCCTTGGTTAAACAATCAAAGTAGTAGATGTAGATCTTTGACCGAACCACTATAAATCTTTGTGTCTTGTCTT